TAGCATGTAAGTGAATGTTAAAAAAAAAGTCCATGTGTGCTTCATATAGTTTATTAAATAGAGTAGATAAATTGGTCAATAAAATTTTGTTTGATTTTTTTTTTTTTTATTGACTAACTTATCTACCCTATTTCATATATATATATATATATATATATATATATATATATATATATATATATTTATTAATAGTAGTACTCATTTGGAAAACCTTGATAGCTCAACTTGCAGATATGTCAGGACAAATTGGTACCTGAGGCAAAAATTGGAAATAAAAAAAAAAAAAAAAAAAGAAAGAACTAAAAACATCATAACAAGACGAAACAAATTGCCAAGTGCTTAAAATCCTTAGTCCAAAGAAAAAAAAAAACCCAAACAAGTAGAAAGACTAAAACGAAGAGTGCTCCATATGCTAAGTAGAGTGATAAACTAGGTAGGTTTGTCTGGCTCCTTAGGATTTATTCTTGTGTGTGTGTGTGTGTGTATATATATATATATATATATATACATGAATTAGGTTTCTTTCTTTTAAAAGCAATTTTGGGAACAGAAAATTTGATAGCAATCTGGGCATTGTTTTTGTTATCAAAAGTTAAATAGCCAATACATAGAAAAGTATAAACAAAATTATTATAGAACTAATAAAATGGTCAGTTCAGCATTTTGTGTGTTGTTTCTGAAATTTGCTGAAACCTATATATAAGTATGTTTATACACAAAGGAGTGCTTGAAAACCTTTCAGCCTTTCCAAAATTTAATCAGAATTTTTCATCACCCATCATAATGTTAAATCGTTTTTTATTATCTGTCTATATTTCTGAGATGAGGTATTGTAATTATTTACACTATTTACATTGTTTGGACTGTTGTCCTCATCTTCGTTGCCTTATTCACAATGTTTCTTCAGGTGATTGGAATTTCGAACTGAACCCTTTATTTCATTCACCAGGGTAGATTGTTGCTCTTCCATATGTCTCAGTATCAATTATCTCCCTTTAACTCAACTCTCCAAGTTATTGTTCACCTCTTCTGTAGCCAGGTATTGAACTTGCATTTAGATCATGTCACGACCAATACTTTTATCCACTGGGACATGTGCTTTTGAGGACATCAGTGTATGAATTTTGGAGACTTATAAAGTTAATGTCTCTGTAAAAATTTTTTTACCAGATCTCATATTGTTGTTGTTGTTTTTCTCTAGCACTTCATGTTTTTGGTTCGCACATTGTATTCATTTCTATGCTTGGCCGTCTTAAATTTTTGTGGCCTAGCATATGAACTGATTCCTTTAATTTTTGTATTTTCTAGTGATGTTCCCTATTTATTATTTATTACCATTAAGATGACATAAATTTATAATTTTAGCAACACACCATAAATAACCATTCAATTCATAGAAGTCAAAATCATTATTTGCTTCTAGCAAATAATATTTAATGATTAAACATTCTTGATGTTACCTGACATTAATCGGATTTGATTAAGGTGTTGAATTTTGATCATTCAGTGGAATTCATTTTTTAATCTCCCTTTAAATAAAAATATTTCTGAATCTACCTTCTTTACCAAAAATGTCAAACATCTCTTTTTTTCACCTTTTTATATATAATATATTAAAATCTCCCTTTTTTTAAAAAAATTTTTTTTATTATTATTAAAAATCAGTGTATGCATGCACAAAGTTTATTTTATTACCACAATGAGATAAATAATGTAAGCTAATGTGGTTCATGGTTATGGTAAAGATAAAACTCAATGTCGTAACAAATGATGTGCCAAATTAGCTTGTTAACCATCACCTTGCAGCTGATACCAGAAATGTTATAATAAAAACAATATAATGTAGAATTCATGATTCAAATGATGTAATATTTTCAAGACTATACAAGTGAAATGACCTGAATATTTTAATTTCTTTATGATTTGTTTTGGTTTCATTCTTTTTTTTCCTCTTTTTCCTCCCCACCAGTGTCCCTGCAATTCCGAGCCTTTCTGAAGTTGCTTGCATCTCTGTCGACAGAACTGGATCGTGTAAAGAGAAACTACTTGATTACATTTCCAAGGAATGTCGAGTGGTTGGTAAAGCTCCTGTTTATATTGCTGATGTTATTGAACGACCAGGTGCATTGCTTGTCAAGTGGAGTGAGGTAAGACTAATTACAGGTTTATATAACAAGTTTCCTTCACCTTTCATGCAATCACCGTCTTTTCAGTTCATGTATTTATATGTGGGTAGATAGAAGCATTTTCAATTCACCAATTTCAATAGAAACTTCTGATGAATAAGCAAACATTTTTAAGTGGAAGTGTCCCAATAATAACAACAATAATAATAAATGAAAAGAAAGTAAAATAACACAAGAAATGAACAATGCAATCCAAGGCAAAGGAAGTACAAGACAATAGCATAGTAAAGCAATTATAGGCAGTAAAAAAGAAACAGTGTTCATTTGCGAAAGAGATACAGTTAAGTCATTATAGGTTTCTGACTTCAAGGTATGAGAGGAAAATAAATGCAGTTAAGACCAAGAATTGTTCATTTTTATTGGTTAAGAAGAAATCCCAGCATGCATCTTTGTTTAAATACAAACTTTATTTTTTTTTTTTTTTACTAACATTAAATAGCCAATAAGAGTTGATGTATTTGAAAATCTGCTAACATAGCACAACTTAAAAAATGAAAAGAAAAGCAAAAATGCTCAACTGTTTTTCATTTTTATTTTTTCTGTTTTTTTTTCAAGACAGAAGATGATGTGGATGCAAGTGAATTCTGTCTTCAGTATGCATCTGGAACAATCAAATCAAATGAAGACAAACATGCACCATTTCACAATGCTTATATTGGCGGCAATTCTATTTGTCTCGTAAAGCATTTACAGACCAATCATCCTTATTCGTTCCGTGCCAGTTGTCGATCTGATCCTGATTCTGCTTGGAGTATTTGGAGTGTACCAACCATTGCTTGCACAACATTGCCACATTATGGTGAGTAAAACTTTTACTGATTGGAGTGTATGCATTTCATCTTGTACTGTGAATCCAATTCTCCTCTTTTCTCTGATAAACAAACCTTTTTCATTTAACCTTCTTTTACTATTATTGGTTAAGAGATATAGTTATGGAAATCAACTTTTTAGATTTCCATTACCTCTAGTTAATTGTGATGGATGTTAAAACATTATGTATTGAAATATAGGCCTACTTAATTGTTGGTGCATTTAGGAGCTCATGGATTCTAAGCATTTGAAACTTGAGGGCACATCTGTGTGCTTCCAGCCTTAAAGAGTTAATGGTTAGTTTATAGAAAACATTTCTATTTGTTAAATGACCAGTCTTGGAGATGATGTTAGTTATTACATTTATAAAGACATCATTTTGAAAATAAAATTAAAAATGTATTTGTGCTCATTGCCTTCTTGTGTATAAAAAATATATGGAATGTTATAAAATAAAATAAGACATATCTCGGCTGATTTACAGGCAAATACTCAAGAGTGAGAACCGGATGTGAACGGGACAAAGCCCCGTCACAAAATGACCATTATCTTTCTTTACAAATGTTCCCGACACATGGGTTCCGGTCGAAAAATAAAATAATATTTAAAGTGCTCTATTTTTCGTCCAATAAAAATGCTTCCCTCCTAATTATACTCGCTTCGTTTCTCGAGCCTGTTAAGTCATAAAAAAACCCTATAAAAGGGGTCACACAGAAGTTCAACAGGCAGTCCACAGGTGGCCGCAAAACAGACCGTCATGGTCAGGCCGAGCGATCAGCAGCAGGAGAGCATCAACCACCGTCAACATGTGTGAACTACTATGAGAGATTGACCTAGATCCGAAGCCGGCTTATGAATTTTACCACAAGGTAGCTGTCCCAAACCCTCACATTCCTGTTGAAATAAACCACGTAAATCTATTTCTGCTGTTGTCGTATTTCTTTCTTGCAACCATACGCTTGTCTATAACAGGAACAATGGCCTAGTGGGTAAAAGTGTTGGTTTGTGAATTTGGTGACATCGTGGTTGTGAGTTCAATCCCTGGCTTGGTCAGTGTGTACTTGCACTCAGTGGAAACTGAAGGGTACTAAATAAAATAAGAACTAGATGACATCCCTAGACATGTAAAGTAGAACAAGAACCGTCTACCTCTGTAGATTAAATAAAGGATTAAGTTCAGAATTGTGGGTTACTCAGATTGATATATACCTAAGGAAGGCTGGAGGACACAACAGCTGAAACATGATAAAAACAACAAAGATGAAGACAATAGTCTGAATACAAATAGTGTAAATAAGATATATAATCGTGTATAATGTGTTTTTTAAAAAAAAATTTCATGTCCTATGTAAGTCATACTTAGTTGTTTGATTTTCAGTTCATGCAATACAGCACCTTCCAGGTTTTTAGAAGATACTGTAAACCCTGGATTCGAATATCTTAAGAGAATTGGGTAGGGTAAGGGCAATGCTGGATTTAGGACAAATGGGGCCCTGTGCTAGTTAAGTTTTAAGTCCCTTTCTTCGGCCTTGAACAAGCAGGCCTGGCATGCCTACACAGGCAGTCCAGCATACATGCTCAGAAAATTTAGGAGTAATTAAAATATTACATGTTACCTAATCAATCATTAGTTTTAACAAGTTTTAGGCAAATTTTTGACTTATCAGGGCTCAGTTTCATGGAATGTTTTTTGGGAGTTTTATGGCTAAATTCAGGTCTAGACTGTATGGGTTATAGGTCAGATATGTACATTACAACAAACTTGAAACCTATTATATATTAACCGAAACCCCAACTGACCCAACACTGTCTTACACAGGTCACATGATGAAATAGTCAAACTTTAGTAAAAGAAAACAGACATGACTGTCATTATAGTCAACATCATGTAATTAAATCCAAACATTATGTAACATTTTAACCTTTGAAGATTGACAAAACTTACATCTTGAACTTTATTGAAGATAACAATCTTAAATCATACAGTGATGATTGATGAAGAAGTTTGTTTACACAAAACAGATAATAAAATTGCCATGTTTTCCTATTACCCTGATAAGACTATTTACATATTTATGGTAGGTAAATTAATCTCAAAACATCTTCCTTTTGAGCTTTTCTGACTGCAAACTCATTAATGATTTCATCAAAATCAATAAGTTGCATTTTATCATTCACATTATACAGAGAATACTCAGACTAGACAGCTGTTCTTGTGACAATGTTGAATCAAGGTCACTTTTGATACTTTTCAGCCTGGAAAATGATCTCTCTCCAGAACAGTTAGTTGCCATCAAACACAGAAACAATCCAAAGATTGTTTCCACATTTGAAAAAGCAGCCTGGATGTTGCCCTCTTTTATTATCTGCTACATGTCTTGGTAGCTGAAACTTTCTTTTTCTGCATGAACCTGTTTGACATACAAGTTGAAAGTCAAGAGATCATCTACACGATTGAGAGTAACATTCATTTGGATATTCTTATTCTAACCTCAACACCATGGAGAATTTGTTCCCTCATTGCTTGTAGATCGATTAAAAACAAAACATTGTCAGAAACACTCCAGTACACAATAGCTCTTCTCTCCAAATTTGAATGAAGAACATCAATTACAGGAATAAATGAATGTATCTTAAACTTGGAGGAATTTCATCCATGGCTTCAGTTGCACTGACATCATTGTGTTGTTGTTTTTGTACTCTACGCCTTGTTTGGAGAATTTTGTACTCTATCTCAGGTAGACTAATTTTTGCTTGCTCCTTAATCTCATAAAAATTTTCCTGTGTGCTGGAGACAAATTGCAGAAGTGAACTGTATTTGTTTGCACATGTCAATAAAATCTGTGCACTTTGAAGGGCATTACATACTTTGTGAAACTGCTCAAGCAAACCTGTACTTAGATGAAGCATGAAAATAAATTCAAATTCTTTCATTTTCTGCAAAAGATTTTGAGCTTGTCATCTAGTATAACCCTTTTCAGTGTTGTCATCATGGCTGTGACTGAGTGCTTCAACATTATGTGTATAACTTTCACTGATGGTTGTCATAGATCTGGGATGGGTCTCCCATCTTGTATCAGATAAATATTGAGAACTTTTAGCACTGGTGGCAAAAAGTTTTTCAGCACTGCTCACCGTCTTGTAGAGACAGAGAAAAAGCAAGAAAGTTCATTGACCACAACAAAGAAATTCACTGCTTCCAACTGCAGTTCTTCTAGGGAATGACTAACACAGGGAATAAATTTGCAAACTTATTCTTTTTTAGAATTTTCTGTTGAGCACCATTATACTTTTCAGCCATTTTAGCTACATTATCATATGATTGATCCCTGTATTTACTAAAATCAATTTCAAGTTCTTCAAAGAAGTTCAGTATCAGTTCAACCATGTGATTCTTCAGTGAAATAAATGCCAAAAATTGTTCATCTGATATTCCATCATGGAGAGAAACGTATCTCCATAACAATTGCAGTGAGTTGATCAACATTGTCAATATCAGGTGTTGAATTGACAGATACATTAAAATACCCTGCTTCTTTGATGTTTTTCACTATTTCTTTAAGAATCTTTTTAGCCATTAGTTAGGTAACGTCTTTACATATGGTGTTGGATTGGTATGATGGATGGTCAGATTCTTATTTCCATGCTAGTGTATGCAGGAATCAAATTTGGCAATCAGTTCCAGCAAACTGAGAAAGTTTCCTTTCTTTGGAGAGCCAATGGTTTCATCATCTCCTCTAAAAGACAATCCATGTTCTGCCAATAGACAAATCACTGCCATCACTCGTTGAAGTACATGGCTCCAGTATTCCTATTCTGCATTGATTTGCTCATCAAGCTTTGTTGTAAACGTCTGACTATGTTTTCTTGTTAAGTAGGTCAACATAGAGTTCATATGACTTCTTGAATTTTTATGGGTATTAATTTGTGAATGATACCAGTTATCAAGTCCTGAAGAAGCTAGAGCTGTAGTTGAAGAAACATTCTTAGAAAATTTTGAGAAAAGTCTTAAACAAAAAACAGACTTTTCCTTTTGTTGGGGAATATACTAACTATTCCCAAGGGTAGGTTTTGCCATTTATTTTAGTGGAGAAGAATAAACTTCTTGAGCAAGAATGAGTTTGGTTTTTGTAGATTATCTTTGAAGTTGTGAAAGGTCCATCTCAGTGTTGACATTCCAAAGGGCCTTCTTCTGTCCAGTATGAAATTTCTTCATCACTCAATGTGGTCCATATAAACCTACATCATTCTTGACAATGAAATCAGTAGAAGAGCAAACACTTGCTTCTCTATATTTGGTAGGGGGAAACTAAAGCTTGTGGAATTACTAACAAATTTTCTGGGGTGCCACTGGTAGGTACTAAGTGTTACTGAAAAATGTTCTTGCATCCCTAGTAATGTATCTGAATCTTCTTCATCTGCTGTTGAACTTGTTTGTTTCAAATAGGCAAAGCCAAATGATGTGATTGGCTTTAAATGTTAGGCAACAGGAAAACATCACAGGTGGTGGACTGCATTTATTATTGAATGCTACTAGCCACTAAACTTGAGATTTTCACCAATGCAACAATATTTTAATGTTATATTATGTAAAATTTTATGCTGAACTGTTCAATGTCTTTTCTGATATTGAATGATAAGCTTTTCTTGCTAAAAACTGCAATTGTCTAGCCACTGCTGATAACTTTTAATTACTGAACAATGCATTTGAATTTAGTAGTTGTGCTTTCATGCTCCTCTATGGCAAGAGTGAAAATGACATTACCTGAAATAGAAAATTGGATTAATGGAAAAAGTAATATGCATGAATAATGAAGAGTGCTAAAGGTTGAGAAAGGAACCATTTTAGAATGGGGACTACTGCATGAATCTGTTACTTTGTTGATGCAAATAAACAAAATTATAAAAATATTACTTGTATAGAATATGACTACTTCCTTTTCAATTGTGATTTCTTGTTAACACATTTCTTGTATGTGAAATAAATACAGTTTATCTTCAAATGTTTTCCTTATAAAATAGGAATAAAAGTTAATGTTATAGCAAAAAACTGTCATGGAATTGATTGAAGGTTGTTTATTGCATTCCTGCCGAATAAAATTTCCCATTTTATAGTGGATGGCATTCAAATATTTTAAACTAAATGATCCTTCTTGTAGATTTGATAAGTTGTTGCCAGTAAGTATTTATTTGTTTGCCTATAGGTTGGCTAAGAATAAAAACCCTTAGTTTCTCACTGATGTCTTAGAACACACACAAACACACAAGGGATGTTTCAAAAGTAACACCTTTTTATTTATTTCCACAACAATTATAGCAGAATAATATTGGTTTGAACAAGTTTTTAACTACAAAATACTATTTTTTCCACATGACATCTATTAGTTGTGCATTTTTTTTGCCATCTGTTAATGTTTCATGGGTTTACAGTTGTATAGATTGGTCCCAAATGCATCTGTACTCACATCTATTATTTCTTTACTCTAAGTGTTCACTAAACTTTGATGACTGTTAATGAGTGTAATTTTCTTCCTGTGCAGAAATTCAATGGCATAACTCTGCTTCATATACACTTTCATGTCTGATGCTATTTTGTCATGAGGTTCAGCTACAATCTGTAATAATATATATATATATATATATATATATAAAAAAAAAAAAAATTGTATTTTCCAGCTTATAAGATGCTTCAGCTTGGAAGATACACCCTAATATTGGAAAGAATATACTGGTGCCACGTATTGTTTACATTAATCACTTGTCTGATTTTGTTTGTATAGCAGTGATATACTAGTCAAGAGCAGAAATACTCTTGCTGCGAGTAAACAGAGCATGTTTAAGATTGTGGCTTGGCTCCAGGGTGGTTTATAATCTTGAAAATATTTGTAGCAGCTAAGTACTGAGGTTACATCATATAAAAGGCTGCATTAGATAGATAACATTATAGTGCAATGACTTGATATACAAATCCACATCCCTATCAGTCAAGCCAATTAGGTGATTGTCCAAAGTTACCTGGGCCTGGGCATTGCCTTACAATTCATCTTGGAAGATGCACATGTATTTTTCAGGGGAATTGAAAAGTGTGTCTTGTAAACTGTAAAATATCGTAAATTGGGAACTGAAGCTTCAATGTCAGTTGAAGTTGCTCATGTTCATTTTTACACTAATGCCTTTCCTAAAATGCATGAATCTATTTCTCCTTTTTTTCTCTCTCTCTCTCTCATCACTAGATATCTTATCAGAAATGTCTTTGACATACCACAATGTTTAACAAAGAAAAAAGAGGGTTGGCACTTGAGTAAATCACTCAATTATCATACATGCCCAAGAAGTGTGTGTATATATATATATATATATATATATATATATATATATATATATATATATATATATATAAATTCATGAGTAAGAATTTGATATACCACCACATGCTTATCAAGAAGATTCACTTTATAACACTTGGATCATAGCTTCATTAGGACCCATTTAAATCCACACACAGACCTACCAACCTCTATCCACAATATACTTGTGGAAAATACAACCATAGCCACATTAAAAAAAATGTTAAAATAATGGAGGCATTAATAATAAAGAGAAGAAACCAACTCTCAGTAATATTAACTATGAAAATGTCCACAACATGCTGTGTTCAGAAATTAATTAATAAAAAAACAAACTTTCCCATTCCTATAGATAGATATATAACCTATATATTCAGTTAAAAAAGCATCCTTGATAATGGCTAACAGATTAGCTGAAAGTGCTTGGACCTATAGAATATTTAAACAGTTTTTACACACTTTGTCCAGAAAAGAAAATATTTGTACAAATGCAAGGAAAATTTAATAAAAAGCATGATCCCACTGCCTTGTCAGTTGTCTTCAATCAAACTTGTATAAAAAAAAAGGGATTGCTGTTTAAATACACACACACACACACATCCCTAACAATTTATATTAAGGTCTCTTTTCTTTGTACTTTTTTATGATTCCCATTATTATTGTTGTTGTTTCAGAATGGAGTGCTGAAAACAGTGCCTACTCAACAAGTAATGAGAACCAAACAGCTACAAAATGTTGTGGGGGTGAAGCAGTTGTCCTCTATTCAAAATCCTATCTGTATACAGCTGGCCAGTCAATAACATTTCGAGTACTGGATGCAGGTAGCACATGTCCTGGAGATGGTGTTGGCCTCTCACTTATGAATTCAGATTCACATACTCTGAGGAGACCAGGTGCTGCTTATGTCACAGTAGATGGTAATTGTCATCATTTTTTACCTCCATTTTGTTTTGTTTTACTTTCTTTTTTTTTTTTATAATCTTTGTTTCTATTTGTATAGACATTGCAGAAATATATTTATTGTATTGCATTAGCAGCAGAGATTTCATCAGATGATGGTTCTGGAGTCAGACATGATTTAAGGACTGGAATATTATAACCCCACTACCCCATACTTGTATCCTACCAGTTTGTGCAAAACTGATTCTTAAAATTATAAACTTAGCAAACTGGCTGTTGGGTTATTTGAAAATAATCTTGTATATTAATAGCTGATGTTCTGTGTTATTTTATTAGTTTCATGCTTACTGAAACTCTAATAGATACATGACTTCTACCACAACAAAAACAATAGTCAGCAGGGAAGAAAAAAATGTAAAAGAAAGATATAGATATCTACAATTAACTGTGTAGAAAAAATAGGTGAAAGAGGGTTCTTTGGGAATGCAGCAATTCTGTTTAAATATGGCCAAGAAACCATAACACAGCTGATGACACTAGAGTCAAAAAGCCTCATACTTCTAAGCAGAAATATGGTGAGAACTGAATTTTAATCTGGAAATATCCACAATCAGAACGCTTAATATATGCATGCCATTACCTGGCTGGGTACAGTTTCTCCCATGTTCAAGGATTTGTTATTAATTTCAAGGAATTTTGGATATTTCAAAGTTGACAACTGTTATATTTAATGCAAAGTGTGTCTTACACTACTGGAACCATTTTAGATCTTCATCTTTTCCCAATTTTGTTCATGGTCCTGCTGGATATATATAGAAAGTGTAGGCAGAGAAATTAATTTCACATCTTTAGTCATCGTGGAGTCAGGGCTAGCAGCCCTGGTTGAGGAGTCAAGAGAGCCAAGTTCAAATTCCAGTTGTGATCTTTATGTTCATTTATGTGCAAATACCTTTGGAAAGGTATGAATCTATCTCATTTCCCCCTACTCTGGGTAAATAGCAGGGTAGATAAGGTCCTATAGTCTTGGGTGGCAACCAGTCTAGGAGAAGAACAACTCTGAATTCAAAACCTCCAACTATGGGTTTAAATAGTGTCACCAACATGCAAGCATGGCGTGCACAGCTACATCTCTGAAGACTCATTCAATCAGGGAGCAGTTCCTGCAAGGAGTGAGAAGGACCTCGATCTGGATCTAGTTCTCTTTTATCCCTAGTACTTTTTTTTTGGGGGGGGTACCTTAAGTGATCATCAGACTAACAACATACATATAGTGACTTATTAAGCATAGCTTAGATGTGGCACCTGGTCAAAAATAATGAGCAATCTTACAACTCAGTCATAATTGATCTAGCTTGCTAACCATTACATCATGTTGAAGTGCACACATGTTATGTAGGAGAAAGCTACCTGGTGTAATTATTACTCTAATATAAAGCTACTAGTTAGAAAAAATAGTTTTAAATTTTTAAAGAGGCATGTTTATCGTGTTCATTGAAAATTAAAATACTTAGTTACATAGATTTTTTTGTACTTGTAATAAAATTTCATGCACTTAATATAATTCTTCAATTTTTTCAAAGGAACCTAAATTCAATAAGTTAAAAATTCTGTCTTATGTTGTCAGGTGTAGGACAGCCTCCTCTTATTGATTTGTTTCTTTATTAACCACACTCTACTTCACTCCACTCTACTTTGTCCAATGAAGGCATATTTATTTAGTTAGAGTGCCTTTTTCTACAAACAAAAGTATCAATGAAATTAGGTCATATTAAAAACAAAAAAAAAAAATCTCTAAGTTTTCCCTGTTTGGTCAAACCATTTTGACTTTCATCATAGAAAATATTTACTGTTTAATCTTGGCACAAGGCTAAAACAGTGAGATACCTATAGAAGAACAAACTAACAAGCAATAGCTGGCTTGACTAGTTTTCTAATGTCAGGCATCAACTTTGCAAGTTTATTGAAAGTTCTATATTTATTATGAAAATAAATTGATTATTTAAACTGGAATTAGTGAAAAGATTGTTTTGTAAAATATGTTCAGAAATTATTAATGATATTAAATGCATTGTGGATTTCAAGGGAGGTAAATCCTGGTCTTATGTCTGTCTATATTTCTGAGATGAGGTGTTATGTACACTATTTACATTATTTGGACTATTGTCCTCATGTTTGTTGCCATATTTATCACAATGTTTTTGGTCGTTGTATGCTCCAGCCTTCTTCAGGTGGTTGGAATATCGAACTGAACCCTTTATTTCACTCGCTGGGGTAGACTGTTCTAGTTCCACATGCCATGTCTAATGGATGTCAATTATCTCCTGTTAATTCCCCTCTCCAAGTTCTCCACCACATTAACCAGGTATTGAGCTCACACTCTGTCACTGGATCTAACTAATGCTTTTATCCACTGTACCATGTGTTATTGAGGACATCTGTGTATGAATTTCTGGATATTATAAACCCAATGTCATCAGCAATCATTTTTTACCAGTGCTCATATTACAATTTTTGCTGTTATTATCGCTTTTCTCTGGCACTCCTTATTACTGGTTCTCATATTGTATTCATTTCTATGCTTTGGTTGGCTCAAGAATATGATAGCAAACCAAACCTATGGGAAGCAAGTAAAACCATTATGTTGGAAATTAACTCCAGTTTTGTTTTGATGTCTAAATTGTTTAAAATTTGATAAAAATTGTTCAAAGCAAATTCAAGTTATTGAGGTTTATGTGGTTTGCGTAATAACTTCAGACGGTCTGTATAAAACTAAAAGTCTATGTTGTAATTTTTCTATACCATGCCACAAAAATAGAATCTCATAAACACTTGCAAAAACTTTTGCTAAGCTTATCTTAGTAAGGATCAAGGCAGTTTCTTTTCCATTATTTTGGCAGAAACAATGGATATTTTTTCTCAATAATAAAAGTTAATGTTGCAGGAAATAAATTGACTTTTTTGCACTGCAATAACAATTTTTTTTTTTGTGACTTTAGTTCAAATCTTGTCCCAAGCAGTTTCTTTACTTTGCAATACCTTCTAATTGAACAAATATTCATCACGTTTATTCATTGATAATCCCTGACATATTGACCTATAACATTTTTCAGATTTTTTCAATTACAATTCTTTGAGTAGTCCATTGTTGGTCTGTTCACTGCATTGCATTGTGGGATGTATATAGATGAACTCTGTCATAATATTTATTTGCATGTCAATTGTATAGAATGGGGGGTGATATCACCCCTGAAATAATAATAATTACGATGATAAAAGAGAATTTGCTGTAAAACAGAAAAAAAGGCATTTTCAAAAGAACCAAGATGTTAAAAATGCTGTAAAGACTTCGAAATGTAAATGTTACAGAAAGTTAATTTAGAAACGAAATACAATCTTTTTGTAAGTGTAGAAAGGATATCAGATTACTAATAGAAAATTACTTGGACAATGATAATTGGAACTTTTAGAAGAAGAAATGGATTTTGACACTTTAAGAATCAAAGTTAAAATAAAGGATGTTTTGATTTAGAATTTATTTTTGAAAATGGACTCTCTGTAGTTTACAGCAGCAGAGTGTTTGCTAGTGAAGTGATAACAATAGTCTTGTTGTGGACCTTGGAAGTCAATCGGTAAAAAAGTAAACTGTTTATTCGGGGGAGTGACTTTGGAAGTATAACAGTATGCTTCCACTAGAAAAACAGATATGTCACCAGTCCTCTATATAAAGAGGCGAGCCAACCAGAAGAAAGAGTTTTGGCTTGTCTGTCTTCAAGTGCAGTTGAGCTGGTGGGGAGATGTCGGAGATTGAAAAGGAGAGTTTTGGGTTTGTCTGTCTTCAAGTGCAGTCAAACTGGGTGGAATGACGTCAGAGATTGTAAAGAACGCAATTGCTGGGTGCTTCTGAGAGGGAGGTGAAGAGCGAATTACCGGCGCTAACATTTAGGTACCACTGCTCCTGCTACTACAAATACTACCACTACTATTACGTCTACTGAGTACAGGAACATCGACAATTGTAGTAGTTGCACTAAGAACAGACCAAAAAGGGTTAAAACAAAGCTCCTATCTCTCCTTACCAAAATTATTCGAAGTATTGTGTTTGTTTGGTTATTGTTCACATACAAGAAACCTTCAACCTTGTACAACAAGAATTATTTTTTGTGTTTTTGCTTTTTTATATATATATATATATATATATATATATATAATAAATTTTGTCCTTTCAAAATTGAATCAACTTGGTTATTTATTTTTCTGTTAACCTGATTCTCACCTGACGAACTTGCAGGTGGACCAATGGTGATCTTCTGGATTTCTAGGATCTGATTACCACTCTTCAGGATAAAAAAAAAACACAACATGACTGGAGGGTGGCTTCGAATTGACATTGGGAACTGGAGACTTGTGTTTAACCTGTAATACTTGACCATACTGGACCAACGGCTGGCCTGGTGGAGTGCGTAGGTCAAGTGGGGTGAGGATACAGTATTACACCACCAGACTTTCACAGTCTACAACCCACCATACCACCTTGTACATGGCATCAACTTCTCCCCATTTTCTTTGTATTTCATTGGTAATCCACTCAGCTTCTCCAGAACTGTAACTTTGAGGAACAGACCCCTGAGAGAGTGCTTCGCCAATCACTCCACGACATATCCTCATGATATGTTGTTACAACCATCTCATTCTGTAACCCTGTACCTTGAGTGGCTCTTGGGCCTTGTATCGAAGGAACAATAGTACAACAAAAAAAGTCTTCTTAGCATTTCCCCTTTTTGGAAATACCTTAGGCACTTGGGATTAACATTAGCCCTCTCCTGTGGGAGATATATTACCTGGGGTATGTCCCTACTCTTGGAATTGGACTTCATTAATTCAGGTTTCAAAGTTGAAAGGAACAGTGTTCAATACAGCACAGTAATAGAAATCTTGTCACTGGAGAAAAGTATTAACCCTGAGGATTGTTTTGCTTTTTATAAAAAATCTCTGAAATATTCATTATATATTAAAAGCAACAATCAAAAATAGGAATATTCATTGAATATCAACTCCTCAAAGTATTGAACAGAAATTGTTCCTTTTTATTTTCTTTCTGAATTTCTGGAATGAGGAATTCTCAGTTTCCATTCAGACTAATGAATTCTATCCTCATGTTTATTGTTGTCACAGTGTTTTATCTGTTGTACCCTCAGACCTTCTTCAGGCAGTCTTGGGTATGCTGATAAATTACATCTGGCAGCAAGGCCTATGATTGAGGCTTTTGTGGGGTGTGGATCTACATGTTAATTGCTGTTGTTCTCAAGGTGATAGCACCTATTAGGGTGTCAGCTGTGGGCAAATAGTGAACCCCCAAACAAAAACAAAACACTATGAAATACATTTTTATGGTAGAAATATCAGCAATACATTTTTATATAAAAAAAATTACCAATAATACATATTCATAGTGGAATGAGCAGCAATCCATATTCATAGTGGAATGAGCAGCAATCCATATTCATAGTGGAATGAGCAGCAATCCATATTCATAGTGGAATGAGCAGCAATCCATATTCATAGTGGAATGACTAACAATACATTTTAACTGTTATAATTGAATGGTATTTACTTGATTCCCACTAAATCAAGATATGACACAAGGTCGATTAACGTGGGAGACCCGAGCGTTTCCACTCAAAAGGTCACTGGTCAAAATTTTGTCAGAGCTTGTCCAAGCTGGTCAGAGCCTAGTCAAAGCTGGTCATAACTTGTCCTAACAGGTCCAGGCCGAAGCCAGTCCAAGCTAGTCAAAGCTTGATCGAATCTCAGTCCACCACCAAGAAACGATCCATTATTTGTCAAAACCCCCAGCCATAAAGGCTGGGCGGAATTACTGTTATAATTGAATGATTATAATTGAAAACTGTTATAATTGAATGCATACAATTGTATTCAAAATATTTAAATTTCGGCATTAAATAACCCATAGAGGTGTTGATAGGCCACTAAACAAAATCAACCAACCTTTTTCAGGTGTCTGTTGATCCCTTTATTTAATCTTGGTAGATTATTCTCATTCTGCTGTCCAGGGATGTCTTGTTTTGTTCCTATTTAGTACTGCTCAGTTATTGCTTGCCCTGTTTCCACTGAGTCTGTTCATGTTACCACACGCAGGAATCAACTCACAATTACTGTCATCAAATTCACAAACCATTGTTTTAATCCAGTAAACTATTTTCCTGTGTGATAATCTTGAGTGTAAAACTTGGAGCCTTAAACCTAATCTGCCTGCTTCTGAGACCGCTTGTCACTCTTGACTGCATTCATTGAGACTCTTCACTTTTCTAACAGCTGCTGGAGTCTTGCTATCATTTCTTTTTCTTTCTTTATTAAGGTTCTCATATCACATTTATTTTTATACTAAGTCTACTAAGGTGGTGCGTATAGCCTAGCATATGTGGTGATTCTTTTAGATGTCTGATTTGCCAGTGTTTTTCTCTTGGTATTTTTAATTCCTTTGACTAGAGTTGGTAACCTACCCTTTTCCCTTTTCATAAAACAGGAGAACATGACAAAGAACTGTGTGCATTCCATCCCTTGCAGTTGTGGCAAAGAATATAAAAGTGAAAGCAGCTGCTCCCTAAAAGTAAGGCTGGAGGAAACTCGAACAGATGGAATTAGGAGCAAGACTATAAAATCATGCATGACTGATCTTGTATGGAGGGAAAAAAAGAAAGAGAAATGACATCAAAACTCAACAGCAAAAGTAATAAAAAAGAATACTCGGTGAATGCAGCGAAGCCTGACAAGCAGCAGGCAAATTAGGTTTAAGGTTCCAAGTTCTACACTCCGGATTGGGACAATATGGACAGAGGAATGAAATAAATCTATTTCTGTAGATTAAATAAAGAGTTCAGTTCAAAATTCCTTGAAGGTTACCTGGATTGACAAACACCTGAAGGAGGCTAGGTACAATGACCAAAATGTTGTGATAATAACAACAAAAATGAGGACAATAATCTGTCTGTAAATAATGTAAATATGAAAATTTTCCTGATTTAATATTATTTTTTTCTTTCCTCAGGCAAAGTGTATGTTGACGGACAGGAAATGAAAACAAAACTCCCTTTTTGGGGTAAGGGTTCATCAGTGACATTTGACACAGAAGTTCAGCCCAATGGAAAGGTCAGAGTTACAGTGCAAGTTGAAGAGAAAGAAGTGACCTTTGACTGGAATTTGCCCTTCATAGAAAAATACATGAAAGATTTTACAAATGAACAGAATCATTCCAGACCAAAAGAAAAATTCTACTTCGCTATGGTGTTTGCCAATGAAGAATGGAAAGTTGGTGTTGAGTAAAATTTCTTCTTGGAGAAATTCTGGTTAACCTCTTCTTTCAAAATAACAACTGAAATTAAAGTTGAGTGTTTGCCATTCAACTGGTGTTGACAAAATAAAAAATTTCAGATTTTAAATGAAGAAATTTTCTTTTAATTATGCTTAAAGATATTAAAAAAAATTTTTTATCTGTTTTTAAAAATATTTCTTTGACACTGTTTTGAGGATTAGAATAGGAAGAAGTTGATATGATACTGTCAAATTTATATATGCAAATGACTCAAATCACTGTCAAATTTACATATGCAAATGCTGTGCTGCCAAACTGCAAAACATGCCCTCTCGATAAAAATTGTTGGTCTTTTAAACAACATAAAATATATTTAAAATGAATAAAAAAAAAATGCAATAGTTAAAAGAGGATTTTATTGTAGTTGATATAATTTTGTATATATTTAGAAATAAACTACACATTTTTCTCTTGGTCTCAATCTTTGCAAATTGATGCTTTGATTGGCTTACATTTGCCTATGTTCAGAATCTGTAATGCTTTACCAGTTAATTAGAAAAAGTGATTAAAAAAAAAAAAAGAACAAACAAAACCACCAGTTTCCTATCAAGTCAAATCTTTAACTTAATTTTAACTTGTATTTTAATCAGTAAAATTAATTGAACTTTATTGATAAATTTTAAAATTGATCCCTCCAAAACATCTAAATACTAATTTTTATTTTTTTATCTTTTTTATTTATTGTTAATTAGATTAAAAAGTTTAAATAAAAATTCACAATTTTCTCCATTTGAAAGTATTTTTTCAAACTTTTTCATAAGACTGATGTTATTTTCATTTCACTCAATTTTTGAAAAAATTTCTTCTCTGCAATTTGAAGTAATTCTTTGATTTTTCTTCAGAAAATTCTCAAATTTCCCAAATAGCAATAAAAATTTGGTGATAATAATAAACAACAATAATAATAAAATAATAATAATAAATAAATAAATAAAAATAACAATGTTATTTAAGGGGCTCTGTAAGTTTATAAAATAATTTGGCTTGACACAAAAATCCAGGTGGTTTTATGTTATGAATTTGCATTTTGGTAGGTTGATTCTATTTGCAAGCCTATTTGAAATAGTTATGGGAATGGTACCAGCATCCATTAGGAATTAAAAGCTTTTTCTATTCAGATGATGAGAATACTAACAATAATTACATTGATGAAAACATGGAAAGGATTTACACAAGTTTGAAATTTGCTTGTACAGGGAAATATCATTTTTGTGTTCATTCACTTGAGAAAAGGCATGCATTCTATCCTCCTTACAATACCACAATTATAATATACTATACATGAAAGACAAACTATATTTGATAATAATTATTAGATGAAAATTATGCATTCAACTAAATATATTAAATTTAGACAAAAGTAAAAACAACAAAATTTGTTCTAAGGAGAAATTCATAAAAAGTATCAGAATATTTGCTTTTGATGAATTATTTTTATTTTTTTATTTTATTTTATTATTTTTTATTTTTTAAAATTTTTTTTGCATGTATATAGTAGGGGATGGATGACTGATAGTTTGTGATTTATTCAAATGATATAAACCTCAACCTTATGCACTCTGTAGTAATTTTGATGCAAACAAAATTACTTTTCTTGGATAAACAAATTCTACACCTCCTTTATTTTAGGCAAGAGTAATGTTGCAAATAGTTATTGATCAGAAAATAAAAATCAGTAATTACTAATGATTTACCAAATAGTTATTTAAATTTATTTTATCCCAGCTCTCAAAATTGTGGGTATTCTGCTGTCTATTTGGAATTTTTTTCTTTTTATATAAAATCCACATCATATGCAAAAATCATATCTCATTGCTGTCATGGTGGAGGTAATTTAGTGGGAGGATGAATTGATCTTGTTTGAATTTTTTGATTATTCTATTTTTTTTTTTTATTTTATTTATTTTTTTTATTTTTTACAGTATCCAAAGTCAATACCAAAACCAAAAAATGTTTTTTTTTTTTTTTAAATCCTAATGCAATTTAAAAATTGTTTTTGTAAGATAATTATTTGAATTGCATCCACTAAATAACTTTGGATTTAGGAATTGAAAAATGTCAAACTTGAATTTTACTTTAAAATTCTGTCTATTGATGGAAGAACTACATTTTTATTTTATTTAAAACCTAAATTTCTTGTTTTAATTCAATTTTCCTGTTTTTTTTAATTAGCCTTTCAATGACATTCTGTTTTTCTTTCATTTAAAACCATTTTATGAACATTTTTGGAGATGTGGAAATGTCATATTTTGATTTGTTCAATTAATTCAGACTTTAACACATTAAAAAACGCAAATATTTCATATCAGCCCAAAATAATGGACACCTGATGATGGTCAGAGGGTACTTCATTGAAACGTTTTCTATAATAATATGATAATCAAGATGAGAACAAGAGTTCAAATAAGTCAAAACCATTTTATTTTCATGTACATGTATTGGTTGAATTTTTTAATTTTCTTTTTTTGCGTATTTGGTTGCAATTTTGAGGGCAACCACATTTTTTTGTTCTCCAAATATTTCTGGACAGATTTCATTATGGACAACTCATCAATCTTTTTAATTGAAATTTATTAATTGAAAAATAAAATGATTTGGTGTATATGAAATCATTATGATTGATTACTTTCATCATTTCTGAAGAAATAAATTTCTAAGTTTTATGGAATAGAGTAAAATAAGACCTGTCCCTGTTTTTTGTTTTATTTATTTTTAATTTAAAGACCTTTTACTATTTTAACTTTAATTCTGATTGTGATAATTATTTTTATTTTAATCTCTTCGTACAATATTTTTCCCATTTTAAAGTCAGTTAATATAATTATTTATAACTTATATTTAACTTTTTTTCTTTTTTCCTGTAGTATGAACAAGTTTAATTGAATTAAAAACAAATCTGCAATAAGGAAATTCTTTTTAGCACTGTTATTATTTAAAAATTATATAAAAATTGTGTATTTGGTCATTAATCTCTTTTATACAAGTTTCATTAAAAGCGACTGATAAGGAACAGTGGTTAACTTTTTTATTTAATTTTCCTTGTATTCTTATAATTTTCTTCTTTACTGGACATAAATTATGTAGAAATGGTCCAAATCTTTTGTGTGTGGATGCTTTTGGCTATATCCCTGGCCATAGCTCAATTAGGTCTCAATAAAATACACATGGAGACCTACCAAACTCTATCCACAGCATACTTGTTGATAATACAAATATGACGCTTAATCCACATGTTAAAAAAAAAGCTAAAAATAATGGAAACATTAATAATGAAAAAAAAGAGAAATCAAACACTCAGAAATATCAACTATAAACATGGCCACAATGTGCTTATCATGTTTGGAAAATAAAACATTCCTATAGCTCTAGATCCATACATAAAACAATCCATACGTTCAGTTAAAAGTAAAAATAAAATCTTCCTTGGCTAAAAGTATAGCCAAAAGTGTTTGGATATACAGAACATTCAGACAATTTCTACATAATTTATGTACAGAAAAGAAAAATTATAAAAACATAAGAAAGATTAAATAAAAACTTAGGCAAAAAATTACCATTTTCATTTTTGTAAATTAAAAAAATATTTTATAATTTAATTTGAATGTTTCTTTGTTAGACAAAATCCAAATTAAAAATTGTGTTTTTTATCTTACCATATTTATATTTTGCTTATTATATCCTGAAAAATCTCTATCCAAGAAAATGTAAATATTCACTTTGCAGTGTTTTGTGTTGTAAAAAGTCAGGTGAATCTTTCTAATGTTTACCTCTTATCAAGTTCACACATTTTTTTCTATTGCTAAAATGTATTTATTGAAACAATTTGCAAATTTTTTATGATTCTGTTTTCTACTTATTCTTGTTTTGCATCTTTGATTTTTGTGTCAACTAAAATCCAAATGAATTTTAGGACTTTGGCTAAAAAGTAAAATATTAACAAATGCTTTTAATAACTAATAATTTCTTAGCTTCCAATTTTTTTGAGGATAAATGTGGTTATTTGTTGATTGATAAATTTCTACTTCAAATCTGATTATATGAGCATTTACTTGAGAATTGTAGCAACATGCTGTTGGGAATGAAGTAAGAGGCTATTGTGGTTCCACTAATATGTAGAGATGTGTCTTTCAGTGTGTACTGGAGTGGGCATCCATTAGTTTTGAGGTTAAGTGATGCTCCAATGATGAAAAAAAATCAGCAGCCATTTAAATACCTTAAACTCAATAGTCAGACTTTTTATTTATAAAATACTCCATACCCTTCATGACTTATTTTGAGAAGTTGTTGTCAGTCCTTAATGTCATGATCATCATTTTGAAAGGCTTAGGGTTTCATTTTTATGCTACAAGTAATATTTTGAAGCAATTTAATTTAGTTATACCGACATTAATATTTTCCACTAAGAAAAAGGTTTTAGAAATTTCAAAATGAGTATAAAAAAACCTTTACTATAAATTAGTTACTCTTAAAAATCAAAAGTTTTTTTTATAGTAACTGTGACAATGTTATTAAGTATCTTATTTTGTGATGCCCTTTTGCAGAAAATTTTCTTATTTTTATGGTCAATTTCAATTAAAATTATTTAGCATTCCTGTTTGAATTTCTGAGATGAGGAATTACTAATAATTCTACACAAATTTATTCAAATTGTTTTCCTAATCTTAGTTGTTATAGTTGCAACATTTTGGCCACTGTACCTTCCAGCTATTTTATTTTAGTGCTTCTTGTATTTGCTAATATTCTTAAAACATCAAACAAAATTCTTCATTCATATCACAGATGGAGGTCATGTTATTTTGTTGTCCATGCTAGGGGAGATAACTCATCCTTTAATACGTCTATCGCTGAACCAAAGTATATGGATTTGACTGTTTTCTGCAGGACAATAGCCTTGTGGTTATAAGTGTTGGTCAAGTGTTGCAGTTTATCTGGTGACTGTGAGCCCAATATT